AGAAGAAGAAGAAGAAGAAGAAGAAGAAGAAGAAGAAGAAGAAGAAGAAGAAGAAGAAGAAACTAACAATGTAATTACTCATTACCTAGGTTGTTTCTCTTTGCTGGGCATTCCAAATCGGATTAAAACAAATTATGAACTGGCTATTGTGGTTGTGAATTTGCGATGTTCTGGCAACAATTTAATATTACCCATACTACTGGAATTCCTTATAATGCTCAAGGACAATGTACTGTGGACCGGGCCCATGGCACATTAAAACAATATCTTCATAAAATAAAAAGGGAAGATTCTATCTCTGTATACCAGGAAACTATTATATCGTGCTGTTTTTATTTTAAAATTTTAGAATTTGGATGTTCATGGACATTCACCTGCTGAGCGCTTTTGGCATCCTCACACGTCCACTACGTATGCTTTAGTGAAAGGGAAGAATCCCAGGGCAGGCCAATGGCACAGACCCAGTCCTGTGTTCATATGAGGAAGAGGGCATGTTTGTGTTTCTTCTGCAGGATGCTGCAGGAGCATGTGGTGAGACATGGTGATGCTGGAACAAAGAATGATGCTGACCTGTGAGCTTGCTGAGTGCCCTGACAGTGGTGACTGGGAAGCTGTATTGGACATATGTTCCTGACCCACCTTTGCTTGCCTATATCCCAGATGGGACAAGCTGCCTTGCCTCAAGCTTTTAGACCTTGTGGGACAGAGAACATGGAGACTGTGGAAACTGCCTTTGAAAAATAAATCAAATAGAGAGGTTGTTATAACGACTCTTCTCTTTCCTTTAGTGTGATCAGTTACTCAGACTCAAGCATGGACTGGTCTAGAAATCAATCCAATATTGGAAAAGAGGAAAACACAGTAGGCATTTAGAGAGCTGGTTCTGGACATTTTCAGAGACTTATTTGAAAATTGTCAGCTGCCTTGTATGATGTTACCTTAGCAATAGATAAAATTGGAACAGGATCTGGATTTCGAACAAGTGTTGGTGCATGTGTTAAAACTAATCGTTTACTAATCGGTCATGTTAAAATTACTTTTGTTTCTTCTATGGTATTTATTGTAAGTTGTGTTGATTGTACACTTTCTAATTGTGTTAGTGTGTTGAAATCTGGCATGTCTGTTATGGTGGTTTATCAACCAGCTTTTGTTTTATTGCCCATAAGTATGAGAGGACCTTGGTTTTCTGAAAAAAAAAAAAAAAAAAAGCTTAAAAATATTGGAAGAAGTGAGTCAGGCTTTAAGCAGAAGCAAGAGGGTAGTGGACTTGATTTTTGCCAGCAACTTTGAAATCTGCAGTTGCTTTGATACCAGAAGTTAAGACAGCCAATTTTGTTAATCAATTAGCAAAAAATGTTACTAATGCTCTGAGGATTCAAGAACATTTAAATAGGTATTTGGAACAATGAATTGATGCTATTTTTTGATACTATCTAAATTATTGGGGAGGAGGTTCAAAGTTTAAGAGAAAGAAGCCATCTTGACCCAGGCAATACTGGCACACACCTTTAATCTCAGCATTTGGGAGGCAGAGGCAGGCATATTTCTGAGTTTGAGGCAACCCTGGTCTACAGAGTGAGTTCCAGGACAGCCAGGGCTATACAGAGAAACCCTGTCTCAAACAAAACAAACAAAACAAAACAAAACAAAGCCATCTTGAGTGTCATGCTAAATACCAATGGGTTTGGTCACTTCTAAAATTTACAGTGACAGTCATTATAATTGGGAGACAATTCAAAGACATTTGCAGGGTATTTGGCATAGTTATAACACCTCTCTGGATATTTTAACTTTGCATACTGAGATTATGAATTTAAAAAATGCTGCCCTGGCCGGGCAGTGGTGGCACACACCTTTAGTCCCACCACTTGGGAGGCAGAGGCAGGCGGATTTCTGAGTTTGAGGCCAGCCTGGTCTACCGAGTGAGTTCCAGGACAGCCAGGGCTACAGAGAGAAACCCTGTCTCGAAAAAACCAAAACCAAAACCAAAACAAACAAACAAACAAACAAACACTGCCCTGCTGAATTTTGATGCTGTGGATATTGCTGATAAAAATTAGTAGTGGCTTAAGGTCAGTATTTCCATCTTGGTCAAGCTTCAAGAATGGCTTATATAGCTTGATCTGAAGAGGCACAGGAAGCCTGCCTCTTCACTTCCCTGCCTCATGGGGCTAGAGAAGTTAATACTCCTTCCTCCCCACAAGCCCCTTCATAGGTGTCTCTGGCCTTCCAGCCTGGCACCAGAATATTGCAATTCCTCTTTTACCCTTTCATGGTAGGGCTCCTTTCCCCCCACCCCCCATAACTCCCCAGGGGGCCAGATGCCAGCCTTGGGAACAGACAGAAAGTAACCATACCCAAGCCCCTGTGTCACTGAGACCAACACTCCCTTTGATTGATAGCCAGTGCTTTCCTAGTGCAGATGGCTCCTGCCCTTGAAGGAAGCAAAGACTGATACCCTTGAAAGCCCATTCTTGGAGTACAGAAGAGGGGCAATTAAGTGTTCCCAGACAGCTGTGACCAGGTTGTAACAATAACTAGCTCCTGATAATGCAATAAGTTACTTTTCCCAGGTCAGGAGGGTCCCTCTCCAGCTGCACGGTTCACCCGCTGTCTGAACAAATTTAAAGGATGTTTTCAAATGTAAAGGATGGCACTCCCTTATCACCGCCCCAGTCACATAACCCCAAAGTTTGAGGCTCCCAGCGAAATGCATATGCACATATACACGCCAAGCTCCTAGAGCAGCGCATTCCTAACCTGTGCATTGGGAAGGCTTGCGATCCGAGTCTGACGCGTGTAATAAAGACTCTCTCTGTTTTTACGTCAAACTTGCAGATCCTGGTATTCCTCTGGGGTTCCTGAGAACTGGGCACAACACATCAGGTTAGCCTTTCTTGTCCTGAGACTGCTTTTCTTTCTGCTCATTTTGATAAAACCTACCTTTAACAACGTCAATATGTTGGCTGCCAAAATACATGGTGTGACTCTGGAAACGGGCGCATCTTCACACCATATCAACTGGAAGTCTTCCATGCCCATGGCAATGCCAGTGTCCACACGACGTCTGGAGGGGGGATACACAGAAATCAGCATCTGAATACACAGCACACAAGACCTTCCTCCAACAGTCACTTCTATCATATACTTTTTTTTTTCACACAGGGTCATATAGCCCTGGCTGGTTGGAAACATCCTCTATAGTCAAGGATATCCTCTGTCTTTGCCCCCTCAGAGCTAGAACTACTAACAGGTGTGTATACCATGCCAGGTTTATATACTGCTGGGGGTTGAACCCCTCACCAATGAGGCTACATCTCCATGCTGGACTTCTCTAATACCAACTGTCAGACAGACAAGTCCTGGTGGGACATGGCAAGGTGTAACCTACCAGGGTGTGAGGGCTGGCTGCTATAATCGATAATCTTTTACCTCATCATCTTGATTTATTTTCTTTTGAAAAACAAAAACAAAAACAATCAAGGTAGGTGTGGTAACAAACACCTCAAATCTCAGCACTCAGGAGGCAGATACTGGCAGATTTCTGTGAGCTGGAGGTCAGCCTGGTTTACATAGTGAGTTACAGGACAGCTAGCACTCTGTAGAGAGACCCTGTCTCAACAAAAAAAAAAAAAAGTTATAATTAAAAACAAGACAAAAGAAACAAAAGGTGAGAAAACCCAGGCTGTGCTGGCATTAGCTTTTAATCCCAGCATTTCTGAGGCAGAGGCAGGCAGATTCCTGAGATCAAGAAAGTTCTAGAACAACCACACTGTAGTGCCGGGGAAATGTTCATGATCCCTCAACAAACAAACAAACAAACACCAAAACCCAAGACAGGCAGGAGCTGATCTGATGCAACTCACAGCAGGATCTTTATTCTATTTGAGCTAGCTTACCCCACCCCCCAACACACCAGCATCACACAGGACGGTTTTGGTGGTGGGGGAGCCCTGAATATCTATTGGGGCGAGGCTTTATAGTAAGCAGCAAGCAGGGAGTACATGTGTAAGCATTTAACTAGAAAGCTACTGTGGGGCTGGAGAGATGGCTCAGTGGTTAAGAGCACTGACTGCACTTCCAGAGGTCCTGAGTTCAAATCCCAGCAACCACATGGTGGCTCACAACCATCGGTAATGGGATCCAATGCCCTCTTCTGGTGTGTCTGAAGACAGCTACAGTGTATTCATATATAATAAATAAATAAATCTTAAAAAAAAAAAAGAAAGCTACTGTGTCTTTAACATAATTGGCTGGTGCTGGGATCCTTATCATAAACTTAATTTCTGTTTCCCTCTGCTTGCTGTGGTTGTGTGTGTGTGGGGGGTGGTTTGTAACCTGGGAGTGCAGGTTTGTTAGGGGAATAACCTGGAGATGCTGGCCTTGTTGAGGATATAACCTGGAGATGCTGGCTTTGTTAGGGATTAGCCTAGAGACTGGAGCTAGGCTCAGGTTTTGTTGAGGGGCGACTTGGAAACTAAAGCTAGGTACCAGCCTGTTAGTTTACCTGAGTTCAAACTGAGGTTAGGTGCTCTAAAATAGAGTAGAAAAGAGTAGAAAAGAAAAGTAGATTCTTAACTTAAGAAAGATTTGGCCACACATCCCCTCCTTTCTCTTGTGACTAGAAGACCCAATCATGGGACTTCCTGGCACTTCATGAAAACAGTAACGGGGCTATATCTATGTGTCGTCCCTGGGGCTTGGGTGGGGGCCCATCAGTGGGAGACAGGAAGGAGTCTTGAGGCTGAATTCTCCTCCTGCTGACCAGGGTCTTCTTCAACTGCAAACAGATGTGTGGTGGATCCACACTGCAACTCTGTAGCACAGGGATCCTTTTAGGAAGCTCTAGTGACTCCTGGCAGTGTCTCCTGACTAGGGCCCAATCTCTGGGCTAAAATTGGTGGAGTTCTGGAGGTGCAGCTGCTTTATGGAAAGCAAGAAGTTTAAGCCAAACATGTCTGTGTACTCACTGGACACACTCGAAATTGTGTAACAATTAGCAATCGTCTGTTTCTGTAATAACTTCTATCAGTAGGAAAACCAAACATAACTTTAAAAGGGATGGGTCCCATGTAGTTTGAGGAGTTTTTTTACTCTATAAAGAATGAAGGGGAGAAGAGTCCCTCCGTCACCATCAGTCTCTAATTTCAATTTAATTAAAGTCTCTTTTAGGGTTCTATTTTTCTTTTCTACTTGTCTTGAACTCTGGGGTCTGTAAGCATAATGAAGTTTCCAACCAATCCCCAGAATATTAGCTAATCTCTAATTTATTGGGGACACAAATGTAGGTCCATTGTCTGACCCTATAAACTTAGACAAATCATACCTTGGAAGAATTTCTTTTAGTAGTTTGTTTTGTTACTGTCTCCACAGTCTTATGCTTAATTGGGAAAGTTGCAATCCATCTTGAAAAGGTATCTTATCTATGAACACCAGCAAATCTTTCTTTCTTTCTTTCTTTCTTTCTTTCTTTCTTTCTTTCTTTCTTTCCTTCTTTCTTTCTTTCTTTTTCCTTTGTTTTTTTTCTGAGACAGGGTTTCTCTGTGTAGCCCTAGCTGTCCTGGAATTCACTCTGTAGACCAGGCTAGCCTCGAACTCAGAAATCCGCCTGCCTCTACCTCCCAAGTGCTGGGATTAAAGGCGTGCGCCACCACTGCCCAGCTACCAGCAAATATTTGTATCTGAATTTTCCTGATGTCACCTCTATGAAGTCTATTTCCTGATAGACTCCTGGCTTGGTGTTCCGGTATCGAGTACCAGGGTTCTTCTCATTGGCAACCACATTAATCAATTGACAGGCCTTACAGTTTTGTTTTGTTTTAACAGTTTTAGCTGTTTTCAGATTGGCATCTTTATTGATGATGTGGGGCTGGTGGACTAAGTCCTGCCTTCTCTGGGATCCCATGTGTGAGAACAATGAATCTTTTTCAGTATGTTTATTCTCATTTTCTCTGGCACAATTAGTTTGTAGTCAGCTGTACTCCATCATCTCTTAGGACACTGAGCCATGGGCAGGTTTTTGGCCCAGATCACATCTTCTGCTGGTCAGAGAGTATGGTATCGCCTGGGTCTAGGGCAATCAAGGACATGAGGGGCCCAATTTTTAGAACCATCCACTGGGTTGTCTTGTTGCCCTCTGGGATAGAGTTTAGTCTTTCCTTCTGCCGTCAGAGGGCCTCTCTCCCTATAAATAGTCCCACAGATATGAGTGGTAGCAAAGGCACACCAGCTATCTGTGTCTCTTGTCTTTTCTCAGCTCTAACACCTTGATCAGAGCTGCCAGTTTAGCTTTCTGGGCTGACATTCCTGTCGGGAGTGGCTCCACACATAGATCTCGGTGTTTGAGACCACCACTGCACCAGCATACCTTTGTCCATCCTGAATGAGGCTGTTGCCATTGGTGAACCATGTTACCTCTGCATCCATCAAGGGGATATTTTGGTCCCATGGATGTGGGCCAAAATGTCTGAGCAGTCATGCAGAGACCCATTAGTCAAGGTTAGGGTCAGGCAGCAGGGCAGCTGAAAAGTTATCCTGGGGACATTCAAGAAGAGAGGCTGGGAAACAGTCTTCTGGTATCATCTTTAACTAGGAGGACATTGCTGCACTGATGTGTAAACAAGACGGGGGCAGCTTCTGGCAATTGGTGACAGATTGGTCATTGGCTAACACCAGGGCTCTGAGTCCCCTGGGTTTAGGAAGGTCACCTGTAGTCGGCAGAGTAAGGCTTTCTTAGAGGAGGCACAATAGTCTGAGGTTTTCAGGACCTCCAAGAGATCTTGGGTTTTTCTTTTGTTTCTGTTGCCACCGGAAAGTCATTTACAAACTGACGAAGAGACTTTATCTTCAGGTTTTAGCAATACCGAATGTTGAACTTTATTAATTATAAAAAAAAAAAAGCTGGTGGGTTTCCTTTTTACTTTTAGGGTTGCCCTGGGCTTGGGGAGGAGGCACTTTTGATCTTCAGGGCCCCCCCCCACCCCTTACCTCCTTCTTCTGAGACTGTTTTAGGCAGATCTTAACGGGTCTTCTGGTTTGGTTGTGGCTGCCAACAGGATCTTAGCCAGGTCTTGAGTCTGTTGCTTCTGTCCTCTCGTGCTTCTCCTCTGTAGTCTCTCTTGTATTAAATACTCTCTATGCCACTATCGCTAAGTCTGATTCCCAGTACCAGGGGTCAGATCGGTAATAACGTTTTGGAAAGAATGTAAGTAATGACAGGAATGAATTTTCAGAAATGACATCTTATTAACATCTGCATGGAAGAAAAACTGAAGAGAAATACAACAAAACAGTTGTGTGTCCTCTTTAGTGAGGTAACTGGTAGTTGTTTCCGTGAGTTCGCCAGAGTTTTGCAACTAGTTTAAGCAACTAGCACCAATTTTGTTTCCTGGCTGTTGAGAGCAGTTACTTTTTTGAAACTACAAGTCTCAGCAGACATCGTGCCTCACCCTTCTGCAGGTCGCACTGCCTGCGGTGCATTGATCTCTGGGATTTGTAGTCTGATGATAAAATAAGGCGGGTCACACACTACCGGCACATATAACTGAGGTGGAGACACAGCCAGATACACCAATAGGTATTGCGTTCCGGGATTGAGTTGCGGGCAAATCACCAATGGTCGCGTCGCTTCTCATGAGTGATGTGACTTCCAGCCTACAGTAGGTCCGTGGGGCGGAGCGCGTGTCGCGGCCCCATTGCGAGCCATGGGAGGCGGCTGGTGGTGGGCTCGGGTCGCGCGCCTTGCCCGCCTGCGTTTCCGGGGGTCTCTGCAGCCGCCTCAGCGGCCTCGCAGCGGGGGCGCGCGCGGGTCCTTCGCCCCGGGCCACGGTCCACGCGCGGGAGCTTCGCCGCCCCCGGTGTCCGAGCTGGATCGCGCGGACGCTTGGCTTCTCCGCAAGGCACATGAAACAGGTCAGTGGTAGGGGCCGGGGTCGTTCTCTATACTAGGAGAGGGGTTCCGGTATGCACGTGAGAATGGGCGGCGAGAGTAAGGCAAGCATCTGCTGGGAACAGGGCCTGTGCTCAGCGGGGGCAGCTTCCTCATGTGAGCGCAGGGAGACGGTGTTGGGGGTTTGGGGGGGGGTAGGAGATTTTGCAACCTGGCCGCATAGGGCACCATCTTTCGGGTCCTGGTCTAATGGGGTACAGCAGGGATTGAGGGAGCGGGGGGTTACGGTTAGGAGAGGTAGCTGGCAACACCACACCGCCTAGGTGAGAGACCGTTCCAGAGGCAGCTGGGAGGGAATGAGTTGCCTGCGAAAGGGGTATCGGTTAGGATTACAGACAGAGGGGACTACTTGGAATAAAACAAGAGTGTGGCTACCCGCAGAAGATGGGGAAGTTCCGGATTGGACCAGCGCGTATCCAATGGTAGAGAAGCTGGCTGCTGATTGGAAGGAGACGTGATCAAGGCTGCAGGGGGAAGGAATCTCAAACATGGCAATGGGTTGAGAGATTGGAGCCAGTCTGGTATAGAATGGGGCTAGTAGTAGGAACAGCCTTTTGGCAGCACTCAGGGACTTGAGTGGTGGGGAGATGTGAACACATGGATGAGGCCATGCCGGGTAGGAACGGTTAACACGCAGGGGAAGGGGAGGCTGGAGGCAGGCCTGAGTGGAGAAGTTTGTCCCAGAGGTCTGAGGGAGAGAGGGCGAAGACCACAGGATGCACAAGTGAGCCGACTGAACGTCTTCAGTTCATGCTCTAGATTTTGAATGTCTGGGACAGAAGGGTAAAGGAATGGGACTTGCATCGGGCTTTCCCAGAAGAGATCCACATCTAGAATACTTTTGTCTTATGGCTGAATAGGGTGAGAGGGGATCTAGGAAGCAGGGCTTGGCTGATGCAGAGCTCCACCCCCCAACTCCCCGCAGCTTTTCTCTCCTGGTTCCGAAATGGACTTCTGGCATCAGGCATTGGAGTCATCTCCTTCATGCAGAGCGACATGGGCCGGGAAGCTGCCTATGGTGAGTGCAGACCATCCCCTATGGGAAATGGGGGCCCCTCCCTCTTTTCCTCCCGTTGTGAGTCCTGCTGCCCTAGCAGTTGTAAAAGGAGAGTACTCCCTTTTCTCTGTCCTCACTGGTGTAAGCCCCTCTTACACCTCCTTCATCGGCATTGTGAGGAGTCCTCTAGACAGTTTCCGAGTGGCCCTGACTTATGTGTACACCTTTGTACCCCCAGACCAGACCCTTTGGATACTGGATTTCACCTCCAAGTCCCAGATACCTCCGTTTACAAAGGCTCATGTACTTGAGCCCTTGTCTGCCCTTATTTATTTATTTATTTATTTATTGTTATAATGGAAAGGAAAACAGCCTAGTAGTTAAGTGCTGTATCACTGACTGAGCTACACATCCCCAGCCTTTTACTGGTGAATTTTTTAGCCATGTGCTCTACCTCTGAGCCGTGCGCCCAGCCCCTCACTGGGGGATTCTAGGCAGGGGCTCTACCACTGAGCCACGCCCCCAGCCCCTCACTGGGGGATTCTAGGCAGGGGCTCTACCAGTGAACTACCAACCTTTTTGGTTGTTTAAGATTTATTTTTATTTTATGTGTACATGGGTATATGGAGACCATGTGCATGCCTGGTACCCACGGAGCCAGAAGAAGGCACCAGAGCCCCTCGGACTGGAGATACAGATGGTTTTGAGCCACCATGTGGGTGCTGGGAACGGAAGTCAGGCCATCTTACAAGAGCAACAAGTGCTCTTAACCTTGGAGCTGTCTTTCCAGCATCAGCCCACCCCCACCCCCGTGTTATTTTGAGACAGTCTAAGTTGCCCAAGTAAGCCTTACATTAGCTGGCACTCCTCCAGCCTCTCACTAGCTGATGTTAGAAGCCTTGCCCGGCCCTGTGCTCATACTGACGCATCCTCCCCACCCATCACCCTGGCAGCCCCTCGGGATACCCTGGACCCTGTAACTACTGACTACCGCTCCTTCTTCCACAGGCTTCTTCCTGCTGGGTGGCCTGTGCGTGGTGTGGGGCGGAGCCTCCTATGCGGTGGGTCTGGCAGCATTGCGGGGACCCATGCAACTGTCGCTTGCTGGTGCTGCCGCTGGTGTGGGGGCAGTGTTGGCTGCCAGTCTGCTCTGGGCTTGTGCAGTAGGTCTCTACATGGGCCAGTTGGAACTGGACGTGGAATTGGTACCTGAGGATGATGGGGCAGCCAGTACAGAAGGCCCAGATGAAGCGGGTCGGCCACCCCCAGAGTAAACAGCAGGGCTGTGGGACCCCTCAGTGATGGATTCTCCTCAGGCCTACCGTTGAACCAGATTCTAAGCCTTTTTTTTTTTTTTCTTTTTTGACTTTCTGTGTGTGGGTGAGGTATGGTGGTGACATCAACACTGGTCCTCTTCCTGTGTCACTGTTACTATCATCATCATTCTGACCGTGTGTACGATGGAGGCATGCATGCCTGACAACCGGGACATTAAAACCTGACCCTTCAGCAGTTCAAGACTCTTGAGTGATAGCTCCTGTTATCTGGGGAGGTGGGGAGGGAGAGGGCAGCCAATGGGGACGAGGCAAGGTGGCTCAGTGGGTAAAGGCACTTGGCTCCCAAGCCTGACAACCTGAGTTTGATACTCAGGACCCACGTGGTAGAAAGAGAGACCTAATTTCCACACCATACCACACATGGACACACACATACAAGTAAATAATTTTAAAGGAACAAGAAAAAGCAATCATGAGAGGCAGGATCCCTGAGGATGGAGCTCATCAGGGAGTGGTGTTTAATTCTCAAGAATGACTTGAGGACTCGATCTGTGTCTCAGACTTGGCCCTCTGGTGTTACACTGCTTTCAGTCTCCTTTCCGCTGCACCCTAGTACCTGTGGGCCCCGGATAGGGCAGGCTCAGTGTAGGGTAAAAAGCCTCTGGAAGCGAGGGGCCTGGACCCAGCCTGTGCAGATGTGGATACATCAGACTCAACTCTGCAGGGCCATAGCGGATGGTGCCTGGGGTACACAGGCCTCGCACAACGGGCGGCAGGAAGCCTGCGTGAAGGAGGGCAGGTGAGGGGTCGCCAGGAGTTGTCAAGCCCCACGGCAGTACTGGATCATGCTTCAGGGCCCCTGCCCGGATGACAGAAGTGAATTCTGGCCGAGGTGGAGCCGGTGGCTCTGAGAGCTCCTCCTCTCCACTGTCCTCTGAGCCTCTAGCTTCCTTCGGGCTGGCCTCCACTTTGATGCGTTTGCCTCTGGCCTGAGGGTCTTTGTCCTTGTCCTGGTCCACAGGCACAGCCTGCTTCCGGTCAACTGGAGGTTCTTCCTCTGAAGAAGATATTTTATATTTATTTTTTTGCTGAACCACACCCATAGCCCCTTACAGCCTACACCCAGGGGAAAGGGGGAGAGGTCAAGATAGATGCCCTACCACTGAGCCACGCCCCCAGCCCCTCACTGGGGGATTCTAGGCAGGGGCTCTTCCACTGAGCCACGCCCCCAGCCCCTCACTGGGGATTCTAGGCAGGGGCTCTTCCACTGAGCCACGACCCCAGCTCCTCACTGGGGGATTCTAGGCAGGGGCTCTACCACTGAGCCACGGCCCCCAGCCCCTCACTGGGGGGATTCTAGGCAGGGGCTCTTCCACTGAGCCACGACCCCAGCTCCTCACTGGGGGATTCTAGGCAGGGGCTCTTCCACTGAGCCACGACCCCAGCTCCTCACTGGGGGATTCTAGACAGGGGTTCTACCACTGAGCCACGCCCCCAGCCCCTCACTGGGGGATTCTAG